CAAAAAAGATAAAAGTCATAAAGTAAAAGGAAAAATTAAAAAGAAAGAATGTAAATGGCATGAAATTAAATAACATAAAAGTAAAAGTTGGATGTTAGCATAATTAATATGTTAATGTTAGTGTTAATGAGGAATCAAGTGATTCGAGATAATTTAGCGTTGTGTTAAGCAATTGTAAGTGGAATTATGTAGAAGTCACACATATTTGAGACGGGTCAATAACAATTTATATGTCATACATTTTAGAGGAATGATACAACATCATCCTCCTAAAACAATGTAACACAATGATAAAAAAACAAAAGCAAAAAGAAGAAGATGGATAAGGAGAAATGATTAACCATATTTGAAATGTAACAAGGGAATCATCTATCATCATTTCAATCATTCAAACTCACATTGCAATGGGATAAATTTATCATTAATCCAAAAGTATAAAAAATGATCAAATGATCACTTAAATGATAAGTTTGAAATCATGAAAGTTCATGCAACCAAAGCATCATTCAAAGACCAATTGAAATTGATGAAGTATTGATCAACCAAGTCATAATCCAAGTCAACAAAAGTCAAAACAAAAATGGATTAAAATATGATTAAAAATTTATTTAAAAAAGATTTAAAATGATTTAAACTGGTATTAAATGGAAATTTTCAAAGACGCATCAAAACATCAAATAAATTGTCAAAATAATTTGAGAAAGTCAGAAATATTACAAGTAATTAGATCTCAAAAGTTGGAGTGAAGAATATTTTAAAATGTATGAAAATTAATTGTTAAACGAAAATTAAAAATAAAATAGAAAGAAAATAGAAAAAATGGTAAAAATGATTTTTAAATTCTTAAAAAAAGTATGTGGTAGAAAATAATTTTTGTGATTTATGAAAAAAAATTGGAGTCAAAAAGGTCAAAGGAGCTATTTAAAATAAATCAGAAAAGAAAAGGGAAATAAGATGAATTAAAAACAAAAAATAAAATAAAAAGGTTAGCGGCTAGGAGGCGTAGCACATTCTAATTGGCTGGGATTTCTACCAAAACGTTCTCTTCATTGTTTTCAACCTTGGTTCGATTTCTACAAATCCATGAACTCCGAGTTTTAAAATCAAACAACACATGTTTGTGCTTATACTCATGTCATCATTCATGTCTCTTTGCTTCAGAATCATGGATTGGTTCTGAGCAAAGAGAATTGGCTCAAAAACACGAAGAAACCCTGGTGTTTCAAAGTAAAATTAAATGACAAATACGAACAATAAATTATAGGTAAGTGAGGGCTTTTGATCAGAGAATCAAGACGAAGAGTGTGGTAACTTGTTTGTTCAGAAATTTAACTGGTATTTATCTTTCTAGTTGAAACTTTGAAGGTCGCAATGGTGAAATCAATTTGAAGGCTGGAAGCTTATGTAATGGTCCAGTTAGCTTCAAATTGTGCCGATGAGTGATTCTGGGTAGAGTTTTAAAGCTAAAACAAGCTTAGATTGGAAAGAGGGTATCTGATTTTTGGAGTTTTTCGTGAGTGAAAATGGCAGAGGTTTTGTGGCTGTCTAAGCTTGCAATTGAGAGAAAATGATCCTCTATTTATAGGAAATGAAATGAGGTTATGGTACGTGTGAATTCAGATCTAGAACGTGTGAACTAAGTTGGAAATTTCATTTGTGCAATATGTGTGAGAGTGAGGGTGAAATGCATGAGTTTGGAATTAAACTTGGTCGTTTTGCACTCCACTCTACACGTTTTGCAACAACAAACAAGTTTGCACATGTGCTAGTGGTCCCAAGTGAAGATTTAGGTGATTTTGGGTTTCAAGTCATGCGCAAAATGCAGAGTCCATCACACCATGTTTGAACTTAGGCCAAATGAGATTCCTTCGTGCGTTTTGAGATATTCTTTGGTACAAATGATCTTCTCATGGTGAAGAATCAAATGCAAAAAGAATCACATCAAAGGAATGTTTTAGTTTAAAATGGCACGAATGACATGTTTAGATCATGATTTGAATTCTAGATCGGGCAATAGGTCGAACCAGGTTTTGAACCAGCTTTTGTGCACATATGGGCATCTTGGTCAATTCTAAAATTGAGGTACTTAAAGGAAAAAATTGATGTTTGATCCTTAAAACAAAGTTGTAGAGAGGCTCAAATGTGACATTTGGCTCAAAGTGGATTCCAAAAGGATTGAGAAATGAGAGAGTTATGGTGTTTGGACCAAGTGACATGCCATACTTGATTTTAGGTCAACCCAAACATTATCAACTTGTAATTTTTGCTATTTTCTTGCATCCAAAAACCCAATAACGAACACCTGAATACCAAATAAAGGAATCTTGATTTTCCCTTCAATAAACACTTGAACCATACTTGAATCAACTTTGAAATCATACACCAAATTTGAACTTCCCTTCATCAAATGATGTTGAATGAAGCTTGAAATGAATATGAGCTAAGATTATAGGTCATGCCTTGAAGGAAAAGCTCATGTGGACCACTTATTGACCAAAACTTTGACCTTGGGAACCAAAACCCTCATTTAGAAACCAAGTTTGATCCTTTGATTGCAAGTCCCTTACCTTGTACAATAAGAAAAGAAAGCAACACATATTTTTGTATTTTGAATAAAGTTAGCAAAGTTAAAATATAAACAAGCATGGATGCAAAAAGAAACACAAAAGGTGCTTGGTGATCTTCCACAAAGGCTAAACTAAAGGGGTAGAGATTATGAGGATGCCATGCTTGTGATCTTTGGTTAGATGCAAATGATATGATAGATGGAATTTTATAGGTAAAAATTAGGGTATGACAACTGTCCTTTAAGTCCAACATATTGTTGTTGTTCCAAATGTTTATCCAAGAGGCCCATATAACATTTCACTGCTTTGTTAGTATGTATACCATGTTGTCAGGCACGAGTGGGATGGAGAGGTAAATTAATTTATATTTATTCTTTTAAACATATGTGTTATATAAGATTTGAACATTTTGACATTGTTGTATTTTTTTACAACATCATGAGGCATTAAAATGTATCAACCATAATAGGAAGGTTACGAAGTTGTTGTAGTCTAATGAACCATGGCTTACGAATGTCATGCAGGTATTTGGGCTGCAAGATTTATCCAAGAGTGGGTATATTTTTATTAGCCATTATTTTTTATATACTTTCATCGAGAGATGGAACTCAGACACTTCTTCATTCCATCTTATGATCGGTGAGATGTCCATCACACTTGATGATGTGTCATCCCTCCTACATCTTCCAATCAAGGGAATATTTTTAAACTACTCCAGATTGACTAGGTTTTTAGCACTGGATATGATAGTACAATATTTGGGAGTTGACCTTGGTGGTGCCCAACAGAAAATGGATGACACCAGAGGATGTCATGTGATGTTTAAATTTATGGAGAGATTATACAGATAATACCTAGATGTGGTGGTTAAGGTTGATGGTGATTATACACAAGTAGCACATCATAGAGTATGTGCATTAAGGTCATACATCTTGTATCTGGTTGACACGTCCATATTCATGGATAAAATTGATTACTATGGTAATGTCGTCTACCTTAGATACCTCATTGACTTGGAGAGGATTCTTGAGTACAATTGGGAGGCTCTGGTTCGATTTACCTGTACTCTAAGTTAAGTGAGGCTTATTTATAGAAGACTAGACATATGACAACCATCAACACCCTATTTATGGGAATATATTTGCATCTTTATTATTACTAATATTTCATAAACTTGTGCTTCACCATTACTAATCTTTCATTTGTACCATTTTAGGCATGGACCCCTTCACCACTCTCCACGCCTCTTAGGTTTGACATATGTGAATGACTACTATGAAATTTTGTCATGTGTTTTCTCCTTCATCCCGACCCGAGGGAATCAGACGATCGAGCCTTTCAAAATTTATCTTGACTGCATTGTAGTAGATGATATAAACTTCATACCTAATGATGATCATCGTGAGACACACCCCTTCGATGATATATCCTTCTACTCTATATGGCTTGCTTATAGGTAAATAATGATGTATCGACATCTACTTGAGTGATTAATTCGCGGTTGGGTATTCGCAGGGTAGTCCTACAGTCCCTACCGTTGCTACTCCTCCCACAGTCTTCTGCATACACGCTAATGAGATATCTACAGAGTACCTTGATCATCTGGTCCCAGATGATATATATAGTGGGACAACTCCTCGTCTATAGAGTTTTGCATTTCACTACATCTAATAATTTTTTAAAGTGTCACATCCTTACATGACATTGAATGCATAAGGAAAGCCACCTAAGCATGCTCATCGGAAGATATTAGAGTAGGAGTAAGTTAAGGCAAATCATCGTATTGTGGCTATTGGACGAGTGAGTACAGAGATTGGAGAGTTTCTGGAAAGCATTCATAGAAGGGCCATTGTAGAGGTCACGGTAGCCGAGACACTAAATACCTTATAGCACAGGAGGCTGAGGAGAAGGAACTGGGGGTCAGATATATCTAACAATTGACTTTTTTATTTTGATCATTTGTATTTTTATTTGTATTTTGTGAATAATGCATAGTTTGCGTTTTGAGTTAATATATGATATTTATGTTGAATTACATTTGTGTATAGTTTGATTGAATTATATATGATATTTTTTATTGTATTGTGATCAGTGATGCTTTAATTGAATTAAATAAGATTTATTAAAATATGTCAAATTCATAACAAAAATATTGATCGTGAAGGAAATTTACTATTGTAAGGGTTAATACGGAAGTTAAAATTCCGTAATATCCGCTGTGTTATGAAATAACACCACTATCATGAATTCAAAATGTGTCTTATGAAATTTTTTTTGAAAATTTCGAAATATATATTGAAATTTCCGGTACTGTATTGGAAATTTTTGGTATCGTACTAAAAATTTCAAAATTCACAAAAAATATAATGGTTATAGCATACGTGATGAGGATTGCTATATATAAGTGTGAGGGTAGCATGTTAAATCCTCCCCATGACAGCTCTAGAAAGAGAGGTCACACTCCCTGTTAAGCTTATCGACAAGAGTGACCCTTTAATTTTTCTTTGGTACAGTAGTTGCAAGCTATACACCCAAGCTTTTAAGCTTTCCGACATTGGAGGAGATCTAGCATATACTATAGCAACCACCACAAGTACTGTCTCTGAAACTACAACCTATGACATCAAGGAGCATGGGCAAGCGACAAAGAGAGAGGATAGAGACAAGAAAGGGAGAGGGATAGAATTCAATTTAGTGTGGAGGTTGCATACTACGATGTAGTATAACAAGTACAAAATCCAACCATTATCGATTGAAATTCACAATAAACCAACCTATGGTGGTGGTTGCATTATAATTTTACATGATTGTGTAGGGAAAACTGAAAACAAAAGAAGTTTGTAACTTCGATTCCTCTCTAACCAGTTGAGTGGTCCTTTTAATTCTCGAAGTCATCCTGTATTGGTACACCGGACTCTTCAGTCAACTTTTTAAAACTAGCTTGCAATTTTTTTGTTACTGGCCCTACTTTTCCATCGCCAATTGTGCGTCCATCAACCTTCACTACCTGCAGGTCGTAAACAAGTCTGTGAATTTGATAAGGAAAGAAATTGATCGAGATTCTTAATGAGCAAACAACGAGGAACAGAAAATTCAAACCGAGAAATATATCATGTCCGTAGCATAATTCAGACAAAACTTTGGAAGGTATAAGGTACTTACTGGGCTTAGTTCTCCCATTGTACCTGTTGTCCATACCTGCAAGGCAACTTTCTAGTTATAACTAGACATAAATTTGAATATTCAAACCAAATAGTTGATGTTAACAGATTCTTAATATACGTGTATTATGATCATATAATGAAAATAAAACTACTGGATTCCATAACGAATAACATGTGAGTTGGTGTGATATCTCTCGGTGTGGTTCAAAAAAACTTGAGAAATATAGGAGTAACATTTTCGCTATATATATTCCTCATTTCCATAAGCCAGAAACAAACACTTGTTCAATAGAAAATAAAAAATGACTTTCTTTTAAATTATCAGATTTCTAGGAAAAGTATATATTATTTGTGAACCTCATCTGCACAATGCACTTCTGATAGGCTGATTCTCCGCTCTTCTAAAATAAACTGCTCCTTCACCACAAGATCCATAACCTTAAATTGCGAAACACCTTAGTTCCGTAAGTACCAAAATATAATAATAATTGTGATAAGTTGGTATGATAAAAATGAATCTGCACAACTTACAGTTGCTCTAGTAATGCCAGGAAGGCAGTAATCAGCATGTGGCGTCAAAACACGGCCTTTCTTAACTATGAACTACATCAAATAATGCAATATATTAGTTGAACTTCAAGAATCACCTCCCTAGTATATAATCATCAAAATAGACAACAAAGACCTTTATAACAGTTGAGAAAAAGTTCAAGACATACGATGTTTGTTGCATTGGTTTCGGATACAAAACCATCTTTGTCCAGCATGATTGCATCATCTGCTTTTGCATTATTGCTCTCAACCTGTGCACCAAACCAGTTAACGAAATTTGTGTGAAACATTATTCAGAAAGACAAGATATTAACATGAAAAGATGTTAAAACCTTGCGGTGAATAGAAAATTACCTTTGCAAGTATGTTGTTCAGGAGATTGTTGTGGTGTATCTTTGAATCCAAATTCTGGTAAAACAAATAAAAAGATCAAACAATCAACTAGACAGGAATATTGTTGGTTTTGAATTAATCTCGCCAATTAAAAGCTTCTCCCTCGGGTCTCATATATTAGCAAAAACTTTTGATTAAATTTAAGACCACCAAACGTAACATTTCTTTTTGCTTATAATTGAGACTAGAGGGAGAACTTTCCAAGCAATCCCGTGCCAATTTCAATTATCATTATCAAAATGAATAAAAGTGGAGTATGTGAATGCTTGAAAATCATGAAACCAACAATTCAAGCATAGATTATTCAAATAACAACTTTCTCCTTGGAACTAACAATTATACAAACAAGAAACTTACATTTGGTGAGTTACGGCGTGTTGTGGCAGTTACAAGAACTATACCATGCTCATTATCATAAACAGGGGGCTTCCATTCGGCAAGCACTGCATAATTTAGCAAGGACCAATTTCAGTATAATATTGCATGTCCAGGAGAAAAGTACATTGTATGGCAGATCCAGGATCACAAACAGGCTTGGCTAGATAATTCCAAAAAATATGCTGAACAATGCCAACATTCACATGCATATATCATCAAAGAAACCTAAATATTTTGGTGCAAGTATCATTGTTGCTTAAGTTGTTACCAATTAATGTGCATCCATACAGATTTAATGCCGGACTCATCCCAGAAGTAACCTAGATAAGAAGATAACATAGAACTGGTTAATAGTAAGTTTCACAACGGAATTAAATACGATTGATGGTTTCATAACTTCGGTTGCAAACAGAACGAAATATATATAGTCAACACTAGTGAAACAATAGGCTACGATTAGCATAATGCATGTCTACAAGGTTTAATTGTTGAGAATGGAACAAAAATCATTAGGAAACAAAGAATTAACGTAATAGACACAAAAGTCTGAGAGAATAAACCTTTTTTCCTCGTGTTAGAGAAAGTCGTACGTGGGCATTGTCAAACATCCCATTCCTAATTAGTGTTTTGAAAATAGCTTCCTTAATCTGCAAAATATCTCACAGAAAGCATCAGAATTTAAACGGAGGTAACAATCTGAGTGATTCATGATGGATGAACAGAAAGCATCTTCAGAGTTATACCTCATTTCGAGTTGGAACGTTTTCAAAAGCCAAAGCTTTAGCTGAATCGAACATTCTGGTGAGGTTTATGAAAATCAATTGCATTAAACATCACCAGACACCAACTTTCAATTTCTCAATTTTTTAACACTACATACCTGTCCAGATGTTCCTCAAGCTTAAATATCTTTTTGTTATATACTCGAAGACCCTCCCAAACGGAGTCGCCACCTTGGGCAACTGAATCAAACACTGAAACCTAATATATCATAGCATAAAAATTCAACATCCCGAGAATGTGTGCTCAATCACATATCTCGTGTGCCTTGTTCTATTTACGGGAAAACTTGAAGTGTTGTAAAATAAATACCTTGGCATTCTCGCGTGTCACAATCTCATCACCGACCCAAGCAAGCAATTTCTCATTTGCGGGAACTGGAAGGTCCGGAGGAGGCAAAGGAGAGCTCAGAAGAGATGACTTTTTCTTTACATGGCGCCGAAGCATGTTGTAAAGAGGTAGTGTTTGCTCCAATAAATCATAGAGAGCAAAGGGAAATGGCTGAAAAGGAAATAACAATACATCATAAACTCAACCAGGATTTCCCCTAAGCCCAACCAATCATAACGAAAGAAGGCATAGGGATAGCTATAAAACATCAACCGTGTATGCAATTGCGATAAGATTATTTAAAAAGATATTGGTTGTTACTGCAAATGGGAACTTAACTGAAGGCATGCATAAAGGATCTACATACCTTAGGATACTTCTTTTGTTCCTTAAAACCAGTAGATTTGTGTACAGTGTTATACCACCAAGGGGCCCATAAGCCATCTATTGGTTTTGGACCTGCTTCCCAACTGAAAAGTTCAAAATTCGAGTTTTCACTTCCGATGCATGAATCTAAGAATGAGTTCAAAATTTGGAAGAATGCTTCAACCATATTTTCAATGACTAAATCTCTCCAAATATTTTGAATCAAAGAAGATTTTTCAACAAGAAATCATTGAGATAAAAAAAGACCAGAAAAAGTAGCAGCACAAGGCCAGGATTTCCATAACGAACACTCTGCATACCTGAGCATTGAGGGTTGAAAAGGAATCTCCAAATCATCACAAAGACCCCTTAAAGTAGCCTACAAATTAACAAGATCACAAATTAAAGCAAGATTAAAAGCGGAATCTAGATTAGCATATAAGTCAGTCTAATCATTTTAATCTCATTCCTTGAACACAGTAATAGGAATCAGTGTAGCACCGACACCTCTAGAAAAAAAGAGCGACAGTGTCCACACTCGTGATGACGTTTAATTTACTCATTTTTTCAAATTATTACTAGCGTCGACGTGTCAGTGTCGGTGCTTCATAGATAAGAATGAAGCATGTTGGAAAAGCGCAAATACCTCAGGATCTTTTTGAAGTTCTTCAGCATCAATAACGGGCGGTGGTTTTCCACTCTCAGAGAGTTCATTGTATATATGAAGAAGCTCCAACAAACCCAACTCAAAGAAAGATGGGGACACAACCTTGTCAAAGGATGGCTGGAGGACACAGAATGAGATCATAACTTGGTAAGCAACTAGCAAAAGATTGAAGTGGCATATATATAATACATGAAATAAGAGTTACCAATATGTCAAGAGGATTTCTTATGAGAATGAAGTGCTTTCCTTTCTTCATTAAATCTTCTGGCAACCCAAGCACCCTTTGTTTTGATATATGCTGAAAGCAACAAAGTAATAACAACAAGTAATGTAGTTATAGATATATAAAAAAAAAAATGTAGTAATTACCAACAAGGTATTACCTTACAGAATCTATACTTGTTGTTTCCCGGACCATAAATTATGTCGGTAACAACCTTATTTCCATCGGATTCCTATTACAATCGAAAGAGCAACAAAACTGAGGATTTAGGAATAAACGTAGAGTACTTCAAATGAGGTGAGAGAGATAAATACCATACCATTTCTTGGAGTAGTTGTTCCCTATAGGGTCGGTTAAAACCACAGATTTTAAGGAAGTTAGCATAGAGAGGCTCATCCAGAATTTCAATGTCATCCCTCTAAACAAACACAGATCACAAATGAATTGAACCGAATAACAAGAAGGGAATAGAAAAAGAAAACATATAAATATCATACCTGTGAAAAAGAGTACATTAGGCTTGTACTCAACGACCTCGGAGCAGACCATGAATGAATCACTTCCATCTTCTTCGATCAAATTTTCAGTACCAAATCAAAATTCATCACTCTCATTTCTTAGGGTAATTTAATTTAATTTTATTCAATTTTATTTTCCAACCAGCCACATTAAGAATCTTGGAATCTTTGAATAATTATTATTTAATGTTGTTAACATTTTTTAATGCAATAGTGGTAAACTTAAATACGTGCACGTAACATAATTGTAAGCCTCCACCATTTATCCGAAAATAGAAAGGGTGAAAATTAGGTATATTACCGTTCATGTAAGTGCAAATTCTTTCCCTAGAAGAGAATAATCCAGTGTC